CAAGTATTGATACATGAATAACTCTGTGATATAAATATCGTTAAAATATCACCTTGATGATCTTTGTTTTTATTTGATTTTAGTTTCAGATTTTCTGCCTTTATGTGATTCGTGATTATAATAGTACCATTTTACGTCCCATTTTTACTAATGGAGCCAAATATAAAGCAGGATCAGTCCAATTTTTTATGCCTATTAATTATGAGACTCAAGAAATCAACGTTAGTAAAGAAGAAGACGCAAAATCAATCAGACGTGACCCTCAAGAATAAATATATTAAAACCTATTTTTTGCCAATTCCATGGCCGTGTGAAATCAATTGGCAGAGATTAGAAATTGAAGAATACAATTAAAATTTTTTGATTCTTTAAATTAGACGAGGGCGCGGGTCGGTTCGATTCGATTCTTTTTAATTAGAGGTGGGAGTGAGTCGGTTCGGTGAATTGAACCAAAATTTTCGGGTATCTAGTAAATGGAATCGTCAGGTCCAAATATAATTATGGAACAGTTCGGGTTCGATTTCGTTTGGTTCTGTACAATAATTAATATTTTGACTTTTATAACAACACTATATAAATGCAACTAATGACACATTTAATCGTAGTTTTACAAATTAACATAGTCAAATTTAATAACATGTAAATAACAAGTAGTCCAACAAGATTAATTTACCAATACTTACAATTTACAAATACCAAAGAGTAGATACTAATATTAAAACTTCAACTATCCATCAATTACTTGACTTGCCATACTAACTTTTAAGAAACTCTGCAAGAAAAAAATTGAAAAACACAATTAAGTTATTAACAAAAATAAATAAATTCAAACTTGTTCAACTAATAAGATTTAATAAAAAAAAAAAACATATATTTTATTACCTATCTCAATGCCCTCATAGGTTGTTTTTAGTGGAATGATTCTGACATCTCATTAGGCTTTTTTTTTTGTCTCCCATTTGAGCATCCAGAATTGGTATCACCTTAACAAGAAACTTGATTAAATTATGCACAAACATTGTGGAACAAAATTATCAAACACTAACGAATGATAGTTGCACCAATTGAATAGAGAGAAACCAGCAAAACATTCTGGAAACCCCTTAAAGAGCATAACCTAACTGCTAACTAATCTTATTAACACGATCAGTTGGCTATTTCTCCAATTTAGATGTTGCATACAAACCTACCAAAACCAATCTTATTAACATGATGAGCTGGCTATGTCTCCAATTTAGATGTTGCATAGAAATCTACCAAAACCAATCTTATTAGCATGATTCAACTATAGACAACTTGATAACATGGAAAAAGAAATGCATAGGAATTGGGGAGAAAATGCAATATTAGAGATTCAACATGGAAGCTGAGTTAAGTCCCATATGTAGCAGACAATGGTTATTAATAATCTAAGATAGATCTTTCAAGGCAGACACGGATAAAAACATGTTTGGCTACAGACTTGACAACAATAGTCATAGACTCATACATTTGACTTCATTTCCAAAAACTAATTTTGAGGCAGAAAGGAATTCAGACGATTGTAGACTAATTTCCTTCTCGAGTTACACTATGTTGGATAGGCCATCCTCTAATTTCTTTCTCGGGACTCTCAAGCATAATTCAACAGAAAAGTCAGAAACCAAATACAAATTATTCAACTGCGGGTCTCTCAATCAGAATTCAACAGAAAGCAAATACAAATTCTCTAGTGCTAAATAATTCATTAAAATCACATGAATATTTAACCCCTTGAATCCAAGCTCTAAATAACTGCAATGATTTTGGAATGTCAAAGACTAGTATACTACCTTGTTCAAATGATCATTACGGTCACAACTTCGGTCGGCGGTCACAGTTTCGATCGACGATTGTATAGGTTTTGAAATGTCAGTGAGACTGCTAGAGTGAGTGCGAGAATTGAGACAGCATTAGGCATTTTAGCGTAGGTGTTTAGGGTTATTTAGTGGATTGGATCCTGTTGGGCTAAGAAATGAAACAATAAAATGGGTGATTGGGTCAAAAATTTAGATTTAGAAATTGTTAATTTGTTTAGAAAAAAATTTGAATTAAAAAAATTTGATTTATTCAATATAAAAAAAATTAAAAAGATTCGGTTCTTCGGTTCTTGGTCTAAAATTGAGAACCGAATCGTACCCGTCGATTCTCAATTCAGATACTCGTTTGAGTATTTAATTTGACAAGAACCATCAGGTTCGGTTCGAAAGATTTTCCCAATCCTACTTTAAATTGTTGAGAATTGATAAAAAAAAATTATACAAATATGTTGATTCAAAAAAAAAAAAATAATAATAAATAAATAAATAACGAAATCAGATATAGTAGTACTTCAAAATCTCTAATTTTCATTAATAAACAACTACCCTGTGATAAATTATAAACTCGCAATTGCCCACACCAAAAAAAAAAATAAATAAATAAAAAGTATTTCTAAAATGGAAAAAAAAAAATGCTCCCTATTAAGACAAGTCTGTAGAAAAATAGAAAACAGTGAAATAGAACTTATCTAATATTTGACCTTCACATCATGAAATAAAAAAACAAATGCAATTGGCAATCAAATGATTCCAATCATTCGTATTTCCTTCTCAAATGTGAAATAACATAATTATTATTTGACAAATTTGTAAATAATTTATAGCATATCTGATCATCAACTTTCAAGAATGAATTTGTATATTCCCAAATCTTTAAAGACAACATCAGACAATCCGACGTCTGAGAAAGATGACAAAATTCATCAATTTAAACCGTTAATGTCAAATAAAAAGATGCAATCATTCTTAATTTTTGGGTACATCTTAGGTTAATTGCTACAGCAGTCCCAAACTTTTCCTTTTCTACAGACTTTATCTAGGCCTTTCATTTGTATCATTCATTGTCTTAAAATAGTCGTAGCACAGTGAAAAAATGACGGAAACCGTCAATACCTATTAGTTGACCTACAAAAGAGACTAGATAATTTTTTCCAATTAAAAGAAGGTATTCTGGTCACTTTACCTTTCCCTCTTTTAAAATAAAATTTTTTGTCATACATTTCTATTTCCCATCCAAATAGCATTATAGAAGGAATTAGCAATAGAAAAATTCAATATTTAAATTTCCTTCGCCAATAATTGCTTGTAAATAAATTTGGCTGGACTTTGCTTGATGTACATAATTTTTGTACATCAAGGTGTCAATGCCTCTCACATGAGGTGAGACCCACACTTTTCACTTTTGAGTGTGGGTCCCACCTCATGTGAGAGGCATGGACACCATTATAGACAAAAATTATGTACATCTAGAATTTTTAGAACTTTGGTATTTTTCTCATTTTGTATGTCATATAATTAATAAAAATTAACTGGATGCTCTATGATATCACAAAATTAGTTTTGTCAATAGGAGTTGAATTTGGATGCTTATAGGTTCAATTCAAAGCAACCAACAATTTCGGCACGAAACAAATTTTCCGATTGTTATTTAGCACATCATTGTACTTGAATCTTGTGACGTTTTTGTCTTTTAGGCGATGTAAATTTTTTGGTTATAATGTTTTCATTTGCTTATTTTAACGAAAAAAGTTCTTCCATATTTAAAATTTAATGTGTTCTTTGTTTTGAAAGCTCCTTTTAAGTTGACTTTGTATTTACCAACTCGATAATAGGAGTATCGGAGACCCGACATGGAGAAGTCTCATGAGAATTCAAAATTAAAAAGGCATTAATTGAAGGTCTAATGGCTGTATTTTTATTTCCACTAATGGCCTGTACGTGGCGAGGTATGTGTTCTTTATTTTGAACTTTGTATTTACTAACTCATTAATAGTAGACTTCATTAAATAGGTAAAAAGTGATAGAACCTATATGTTATTGAATCCAATTTTGAGCGTCACACGGCAAGCTTCAACTAAAGCTATCATAAATATATATATCCTATTTCTCTTTGTTAGATTTTTATTGGAAAATTTGCACAAATGGTCAATCAACCGTTTAAACACCAAGTTAGATTCAAACTTGTGAAAAAGAGCAAATTGATTCTAAAATCTAAATGTCTTAAATGGGTCCAAAACTTTGTTAGATAATAGTTATAATGTGGTTCTCATGAATGTATATTTGGCTTCAACTTTCTAAGTGCCAATTCAAGTTGAAAAAATAAATAAACGAAGGATCAATTAGCTCATTTTAAGAGTTGGTGACTTATGTGCTACTTTCTTAATAAGTCATGGACTAATTTTGCAATTTTCCCAATTTTATAATCGATGAGCAGATTCTTACCGTGATGCTTCAAGAGAGAGATGATAGATTTTTATGCTAATTCTTTCACAATTAATAAAAGACGAAAGTCTTAAATTTTTTGTTTGGAAATATATACTATGCAAAAAGAACAGAACAATAAAAGCAATCCCAAAATATTACAGTAAAATTTGTTCGATTTAATGATTCAATTTCCTGTACCGACAAAAACCCTAGAAATTCTTTTCTAGAGATATTACATACAAAATCCAGAACATAGACAATTTCTAGAGGCGCTGCACTCTGAAGTGATCACGCTGCTCTTCTTGCAGTCATAGTGCCGCCGCTACCACTTGGTTTGAAATCATATACATTCGTGATGATGGAGTCTTCGGCGGCGGCGGCGGCGGCGGTGGTGGTGTGGTGGGCGAAGGTCTACTGCAGTGGCTGATTTTGTGGCCGCCTAGTGCTTGGCATGGCGGAAAAGACTTTCCGCACACGTCCCACTTGTGGGACTGCTTCTGGCCCAGTGGAGTAGTGGAAGATGGTTCAATACCCTTCTTGTACTCTATGGCTTTGATGGTGGTGGGAGTGGTGGTAATGGCGGCGGCGGCGGGGGGACTGAATTCTTGGTTTGAAATCAGATACATTCGTGATGATGGAGTCTTCGGCGGCGGCGGCGTGGTAATGATGGCGGAAGGGGGATTGAATTCTCTAGTTTTGCCGGCGGCAGGAGTGGTGGTTGGAGGGTCTTGAGATAGCATGATGAGGACTGTTATGAAAAATAGAGTTGATTGGATTTCAGATTTGAGAAAGAAGTACGAGCGAGCGGATGTATTTATAGGGTTTTTAAGTGGTGTGCTTAGGACTGAATATGGTAAGAAATTCAAATCTTGGCAATTAGAATCAACGGTATAATCTTTAAATTGATCTGCAAATGGGAACCGTGAAGTACGCTTATGGAAACTTTTACTACCTTATTTCTCGACCCCCCCTACACACACACACACAAATTGCGGACAGAGGAAGGAAAAAAGAAGGGTGAAAAACAGCAAAAAATGGGGGAAGAAGAAACAGGGGAGGAGTATTTGTTCAAAATAGTGGTGATTCAGCAGTGGGCAAATCCAATTTGCTGTCCCGTTTTGCTAGAGATGAGTTATACCATAACTCTAAAGCCACCATTGGAGTGGAGTTTGAGACTCAGATGGTGGAGATCGATGGCAAGGAGGTGAAGGCCCAAGTGTGGGACACTGCTGGGCAAGTGAGATTCAGGGCTGTCACTTCTGCTGATTACAGGGAGGCTGTACGGGCTCTTGTTGTGTATGATATTAGCGGGAGGACTACTTTTGAGAATGTCAAAAGATGGCTTGATGAACTTAACACTCATTGTGACACAACTGTAGCAAGAATGCTGGTCGGGAACAAGTGTGTTTTAGAGAGCATAAGAGACATCTGCTTTGGATTCTACCAATGTGTACAAGGCTTTTGAGATTGTTATCCGTGAGATCTTCAACAATATTAGCCGGAAAATTCTCAACTCCGATTCCTATTTTAGGAGTTTTTACATTGATGAACAGTTTTGTGAACTTTATTTTAGGAGTTTTTACATAAGATTCCGCATTGCCGTTGCTCAATACAGTCATTTTGATCTGTTTTTTGTTATCACTGATTTTTATGAGACGCCTTGTTCTGTTAGCCACTTGCTGTATATATATAGAGGCTACAGAGCAAACCGACGGAGACATGGGAATTTTTTCAAAACAGTCATTTTTTCCATGGTCAAATGCGATTTGGTCCTGTATATGCAGTGTACGTTTTGTTAAGATAAAAATGAATAAAATATTAGTTAAAAAAAAAATTATTTATTTTTAAAAATAGGAAATTTCGATTAACAAGAAGGTTACTTATTTTCTTCTTATTCACTAGTTAGCATGTTTAGAAATTAAAAAGTGGCTTTTTATAGTTATTTCTTATATACATACAATTTGAATTATGTAAGCTTAGCTAAACTTGGACATCAGAGTTAATGTTGACTTAACGAAGCAAAATAAGAGCACTTACTCCTGCTGTTCTTCTACATGACTTCTGGTTTTCTGGCTATTTCTTGTTCCTTGTATTCAGTTTTATTTCATTGTTGAATTTGTGCTGGTTTTTGATGCTAGATCGACCTGAAATAACATATGTAACATTATCCTTGAGCTACAATCAATGCTCATGTTATATATAAGAAACTTTTACTATTATCTGGTCAAAATTTCAATCTTCATGAAAGATTTTGGGTGTTTATTTTACACGCCTATAAATTTCCAATTGAACTTCGATATTCTTCACATTTTGTGTATCATTCAAATGAATGGGATGCGATATATAATATCAAAAAATAGTTTTATTGATCTAGAAATGTAAAATGAATTGACGAGATATGCATAAAAATTAAAAACACAGGGACAGAATTAAGTCCAAATGCTGATCATTCCATTGATTAAATTTGTATTCCTGATCACTCAAAGTTACATTATTGTTCAAACTAAATGTGAAGCCTGTGTCAAAAAAGCAATGCACTGAAGTGAGGACAAATGTTCTTCAAAAGCAAATATTTATTAATTCTAACTAATAAATTGAACTTTCCTTAGGAAACAGGTAATCACGAGGAAGATCCATGGAAAGAAACATATCGACGATTAGACGCCTAAAATTCATTAGGGAAGGCAGGGGCATGACCTGTCACGTGCTAAATTGTACATAATTCGACTTAATCCTTCTTTTTTAATGTGCCCCAAACACAATCGTAAGAAAATATTACGTCTTGAAGGACATCAGAATAATGTAATCTCTCATTTCACTTATTGTCCAAAAAATTTAACGATAAATAATTCTACCTTCAAAACCTTCGTTGGAGACACAACAGGAACTCTTCCAGATGAATAACAATTAAGCTTCGCTTTTAAGCACAATCATCACTAACATGACTTGGAACTTCATTTTCACGATCTAGAGGCATGTATTGCGCCATTTTAGCCCTGATTTCTGAGTCCATGTACGACTAAAAATACAACCTAAGAGAAAAGTATAATAAGATATAGATATTTTCTAGTTTAGGATTAAGAAAATCGAAAATCCTTCAATTGTGTAATAATAGACTAAGAAACACACTTTAATGTACTACCCAGAGATGAACATAATTAAAGAAATGAAACAACCTTCTTATATTTATCAAAGGTCACATATTTATGTATTCTTAAAAAGCCTCGAGATGACTTACAACAAAAATGTGGTACACAAAAATATATCCGATAGCTACTTCGTGTTAGATTTGGTGTCTTTTCACAACATTTATGAAAGCAGTAATGGGTGAACCCACTAAAGTTGCACGAGAAGAGCTTGAATACCAGTTTGCAAGCAAGAGTTCAAGATGGGGGCATCTTCAAAACTTGTCATTTACTCTCCCAACATCAAACTTTGATGTGTCCAGTCCTCCTGAGTAATGTGTACCGAACATTGACTATATCTAACCATCCATTCATCATCATATTCTCAATACACAGTTTTATAATGTTTATCTAGTCTCTCGTTCACGATTATATTCAAGCATAGATGCCATTTGAATAAAGCTTAATACGTCCTCCAAAATTAGCATGTCAAGTTATTATTTCGGAACTATGAAAGCCTTTGGCCACAACTTGCTAGTCGATATGAATAAGAAATAAGAACTAATCCTCGATCTAATAAACTAGGGGTCAGTTTACAATTCAGTTCAAAATAAAACTCTTGCCTTCGCAACCATTAACGTCGTCGCCTTTTAAATCTAGGAGGACATTTACTTTTTCCTTCCTCATTATCGTGTTCAAATATTTTTGTAGATTTCTGTCTGAGCTAAATTTAGTAAGGGAGAATTTAAGCAAAATAAATGAATAAACTACTGGCCATGCAAGCAGAGAAAGTAATTCCATTTTGAGTCTCATACCAACACCCTCCATTATTGATTTTGGACCGCCCGGGCCCACTTACTGCAAATGGAAAACTTAATCCAGGCACAGTCTAATCATAGTAACTTAAGATGCTTGAAGAAGGATTTTTTAAGGGTAAGATAAATACGAGGCGTGACACTTGGCTAGATATTCAGAGCAAAAATCTATTTTCCCATCCATATGCGACAAAATTTTAACTGGTTATCGAGTTTCGGTGAAGTGATAATGTAGGAATTTGATGTAAAAAAATATGTTCTACCTAAGCTGAGAATCCATTCCAATAAGATGCATTAACATAATTGATTTATGTACGTAGTACGTGCTTTAGAGAAGGCTATTTTTGGGAATTAATTGTGTATTTTAAAAAGGCCATTATTTGTGGACGACCAAACAAGAAAGAGTAACGTTATTTGCAGTCCCTCGCTGTCATAATCGCCACATGTGGTGGCATACATGCGGCGATTAATAATTTGATACATTAATGTAGTAGTTTTTTATTATATTACATAACATAACACTAACCACCATATGTATGCCACGTAGAGCGACTACGACAATGAACAATTGCAGATAACTTTATTCAACAAGAAATCAAAGTCATTTTGAGTATTGACGGAGAACAAAGGGAGAATTTTTCCTGGAAGCATAAGAATTGCTCTAAAACTGCGTGAAATCTCGACAACGATATGTACTCCTTATCATCTCCTTATAAATTAGAGGAAAGCATTCTTTTGGGATTAATTGACTAGTTGACAAATGAAATAGGAGAAAATTAAAATTGTTGCTGATCATATGTGAAGCCTCCAATGGAAGCCACGTAAAGGCACTATGTACGCACATGTAACAGTCAACCAAGGCAGGACGAAGAAGAAGACAAGAATTGTCTGCTTGGTTGAGGCACTATCTCCATCGAAGTTCTGCTGTCGAAGTGCTCCCTCTATTTTGGCCATTATATGACATATTTGATCTTCTCTTTAAATAAATAAATATAAAAGAAAGTAGTAAAATATCAAAAAAAAAAAAAAAATTGCAAATAAGAGTCATATTACTTTTCAAAACCCACATGACTTTCGTAGCATTTTATTCCCTAACTTATTTTTCATTACATGTGAGTCCTCAACCAATTAAATACATTTTGGTTCTTTAGAAGAATGTTTTCTTGATAGATAGTATAGCATAGGATTCCCTTGTTCTGATTTCATCCTCACCCTAGTTTTCTTTTCGTTTTCTCCAGCTTTTGACTATGACTGATAACTTGCCAAGGAAAACGATGACAATTTTTTAAATTATGGACTCATTTGTAAATATAATACACTTAATTTTATTTTTTTTAATATAGAAAATTAAAATTTTATCAGGTATCTATAAGTAACTAATGAGGGGTGTAGGATTCGTGTGCTTTATTTTGGAAGCTTCTTTTAATAAGTTATAAATCAATAATTAGACTAAATTAAAGAGGATAAAACTATTGGATATCATATCCAATCTTAAATGTTAACACATAATCACACTGGTATACTTAACTTCAACTTAAATTATTATATAAATAAAAAATTGCATTAAACCACCCTTTTGTTTAAAATAGTAAGTTAGAATCCTCAACAATGGAAACAAATCCAATCATTAGCAATCATAATGTCTTTCTTTAGATCTGTGGGTGCCGTCCAAGTCTATTTGCAAAAATAATATGGAAGGCCACATAACAATCTGACATCTATATATTTAGCCCTTGTTTGGTTTAATTAAAAATAAAAAATTTAACTGATTTTTATAAAAATTGATGCAATATGTGGGTGTTTATATGAGTTGAATTTGGATTCAACTTTCTAAGTGCCAATTCAACTTGAAAAAATAAATAAACGAAGGATCAATTAGCTCATTTTAAGTGTTGGTGACTTATGTGCTACTTGCTTAATAAGTTATGGACTAATATTGCAATTTTCCCAATTTTATAATTGATGAGCAGAGTCTTACCGTGATGCTACAAGAGAGAGATGATAGATTTTTATGCTAATTCTTTCACAATTATAAGACGAAGTTTTAAATCTTTTGTTTGGAGACATATACGATGCAAAAAGAACAGAACAATAAAAGCAATCCCAAAATAATACAGTAAAATTTGTTCTATTTAATGATTCAATTTCCTGTACCGACAAAAACCCTAGAAATTCTTTTCCAGAGATAATACATACAAAATCCAGAACATAGACAATTTCTAGAGGCGCTGCACACTGAAGTGATAACACTGCTCAGACAATTTCTAGAGGCGCTGCACACTGAAGTAATAACACTGCTCTTCTTGCCATCATAGTGCCGCCGCTACCACTTGGTTTGAAATCAGATACATTCGTGATGATGGAGTCTTCGGAGGCGGTGGCGGCGGTGGTGTGGTGGGTGGAGGTCTACTGCAGTGGCTGGTTTTGTGGCCGCCGAGTGCTTGGCATGGCAGAAAAGACTTTCCGCACACGTCCCACTTGTGCGACTGCTTCTGGCCCAGTGGAGTAGTGGAAGATGGTTCAAT